CAGCTACTCAGGAGGCTGAGGCAGAAGGATTGCTTGAGCCCAGGAGTTTGAGGTTGCTGTGAGCTAGGCTGATGCCACGGCACTCTAGCCCAAGCAAAAGAGTGAGACTCTGTCTCAAAAAACAAAAGAAATGGATCGAAAGAGGAGAAATAGCTATTATTGTGAATTTGCAATCAGTAAGTATTAAGACCTAGCAAATGTTTTCGCAATAGTTTTAAATAAATGCAGGGCTGACATGATATGGGAAATGTGAAGCATAAAGCAAAGAAATAGACTAATTGGGAGTATAGAAAAGACAGACAAACCTAACTTTGCCACTACTAACTATAAGGGATCTTGAGCAGGTTTCCTGTAGATTATAGGAGTTTCATCTATAAAAGGAAGAGAGGTGAGGTCATTAGATGAGCATTCAGCTTTCCTTGGTCTACAAAATTCTCCTAGATTCATTATAAAACAACCAAGTTAATATTAATAATTTTGATTTCTCAGTGCAGAGCTGGTTTGTCACTTACGGACCTCAATAAGCTGTTATGGAGGTTTGAGGTATAGTATTAGGTCCCATTCTTAGAAGCCCTTTTTTAAGGGCTCAGTCTGATCATATTGGCTGACCGAACTCAGTCAAATGCTCCACTTTAAAGCAGTAAACCTCACTGGCTTTTTTGTTATTGTTGTTTTTCCTGGAAATTTACCTTCTTCTGGTTTGAAGTAGAAATTATAGTAGGACATAAGAAAGGGCTTCTCTACTATTAGGTCTTCAAGAAAAGCTCAGAAAGCAGATCAAACCAAATTTTCTCTCAGAAATCATCTGTGTCTAGGATTCCAGAATTTCAACGAGAAAGTGAATGGTAAACAAAGGCAGAGTCTTCCAATGCAATAAGATTGGGCACTTATATGACCTTGGGCAAGCCCCTTCCCCTCTCTGGGCCTCAGTTTTTGCTTCTGTGGATGACAAAATTGGAGAACAGCCAAGTCCATTTTTGTGCTCAGATTCTAACCAATCTGATTTTCTTAGTCCAAAACGAGGAAACACTCCATTCTTCCCTTAGTCATCTGAGTTAATTGTCTACATAATTGGCATAGCCTGGATTTTTATTTGGCTTGGCTTACTCAGCTGAACTATGGATGGATCTTTGAGAACAGAGCCTTCATAGTGTTTTGGAGATGCTCTGAAAGGTTAATATGTGGTCCCTGAACTGAACCTTTAGACCCAAGGTGTACTACAAACAAATATTTATTTGTGAGAGTGGAATTTGGGCAAATGTTTTCTTTTTTAACTTCAGCTAATTGAAAGTAAGTGAAGGTCTTGCTTTAGCTAATATGAAATACCAGGAACATCCTCTCAAGAGAATGTTCCTGGTACTTCAGAGAGAATGTGACTGTGTACTGCTGTTCACAAAATGTCTCCTCACAGAGGTTTACAACTTGCTTAATATGCTGAGTCTTCCAAAAAAAAAACAGAGAGAGAAAAAGAGAGATAGGTAACCTGCCTTAAATGAACATAAACATGAAAAAACCCTTGAGTCTAGCAAATCTTAACAGGCACCATGGAACTGAAGGTCTGCTGGGAAAACGATTATCTGCTGAGTTGGAACAAGGCAGAAGCTGGAGCAGTGCTCTGGGTAGAGCTTGCTGCTGCAAGCAAAGGAGACAAAACAGTGGAGCTTGGCTGTCCAGAGAGAGCCACTGACCAGCATGTGTGCCTTCAGCGCCAGCTCCAGGCAGCATCTGGTGACAGGAAGAAGTAGGGCTAGTTACAGTTGTCTGGGAAGCCTTATCAGAAGAAAAGGAGAGCCAGGCCATGGGCAGCTGAGAATATCTTCGGGGAGGGAACTGTGGTACCTTTCCTGGGACTCCTGAGACTGAGCTCTGAGGAAAAGGCAGCCACAATCAGCTTACCCTCACTCACAGCTTCTCTTTGAAAACTTTGAAACTTCACTTGGTTACTCACTAATCCATTTCTTTTCAGGGAACTAAATATGGACCCTCCCTTAAGGTATCTCTGGCAGGGAAGTTAGCAATGTTGTTTGGATTATAGTCACACATCCCAAATTATGCAAGTCCAAGATTATTCATTGCAGCATTGTTTATAATAATGAAAGATTGGAAACAACCTAAATGCCCACTAATACAGGACCAACTGGTTAAATAAATGATGGTACATCCTTATAATAGAATATTATGCCTCCATTAAAAAGAATGAGGCAGTTCTTTTCAACTAGAGAAAGTCCGAGTAAATCACAGAGTTATAGAATGGCCAGAGTTGAAACAATTTTAAAGCTTAACTAGTTCAACCGCTAGGAAACAGAAGGGAAATCATTTGCCTAAGATCATACAGTCAGGGCTGAGGCATAATCCAGGTACCCTGGTACCTACCCAATGCTTCTGTAAGGCCACACCTCCATTCCCATATTATTCTTTGAAGCGCTAAAGAATGCAAGTTTTTTTTATGCCTCTAGCATATTGGAAATCAGGATAAAGGAAGCTCAAAGTAGAAATATACTTACCTATCCCGTGTTTTATGTTTCCCCTGCTGCTTAAAAATTTAAAAATCTATCTTTTTCTGTTAACTACACAAGATACAATGTCTGTAGAACCTGGTATGTTTTGGGCAAGCCAAACTAGCTGATGCACTGGGGTGGAAACTCTCATGGAAGTTTCCCCAGAAGCAGAAAGTTTGTTCTCCTGGGACTAATTCTAAGCCCAGTATTGAGCATTTACTATAGGAAGGAGGATATTATTTCTAAATAATATTTCTAAAAAGTTTTCCTGAAATTTTTTGGTCCTTGGTATTAGGAGAGCCTAATACCCTCAAAAATCTTGAATGTTCATTCCACATTAGATGTATGCCTGTCTTGCTTGCTTCAAATTAATTTGGGGGAGGAGGAGGTAATTTTCCATTCATCAGACAGCAGCTCACTTCTACACGTCTTCTACTACTACATTCTCCTATCACACTGCAGACATGAGGAATTTCCAAGATGTTGGTTTGGCTGTCATGCATGCTCATTGATTTATATAGCTTCTGACACTAGTATGTATTTGCAGACCTCAGAATCACATAGGGACTGTTATTTTTATCCCCGAAAAATGTTTCTATGAGTAGATACCTGTTTCTAATCTGACATCCATCTGTTATCTCTGGTTAGGTGCTCATAAGCTATCAAGAAACGTATAAGAAAAACACCTGGTTAGAATAAACCATCTGCCATTTTTCCTTCCATGCTGAAGAATTAAGCATCTGACTGCAGTAGGGTTTGATGAAGGATGGTGGGGGTTGATTTAAAAATTCGACTATAATAAATGCCAGATCCGCCCAGCATAGTTTAAAATCTACCAGAATGAGACCTAATTCCTAGCAATTACAAACAAAGCTTGTGTAAGTGCAAATTACCTGTATACAGGGATAAAACTCTATCATCTCTGTTCTGATCCTAAAGTAATAAGCTACACAAGAAAGCTTACGAATCATGTTCCTGTGTTCATGTATCATCTTTCTAATCCGTACTTGATCGGGGTAAAAAGTCTTCCAGGATTAGCAGCAGAGAGGGTTTTCATATGAAAGATGTTGTGTGCTTTAAGATGTCAATGTGAAGAGCAGGGGTGAGGAGGGAGCATTTCATACTGAAACACCTCACCTAAACTGACCAACAGTGACTTCAGGCCTTCTTTAGGAATGAAAGCCTTGTGGGTGTTGAGATAATGATGGATGTTCCTTATTACAGGAAGCTGGAGACAACAACCAGTTCTGTTGGAGAAACCTCTTTTCCTGTATCAACCTCCTGAGGTTGCTCAATAAACTAACCAAATGGAAACATTCCAGGACCATGGTGAGTGGGGCTTCAGATCATTGAGGTGTCCATCTCACTGAATTTTTTTAAATCATTAGTAAATATTTGTGGACTGACTACTTTGTGAGCTCTGTAGATAGACACTGACTACTACATAAGATTGAGCACCTCCTAATTCTGGACACTTATTCTATTAATGTATAAGATGATTACTCATTAGTCCATTTCTTTTCAGGGAACTGGATACAGACTCTCCCTCAGGGTAGCTCTGGTAGGGAAGTTAGCAGTGTTGTTTGGATTACAGTTACACATCTCAAATGACGCAAGCCTATTATTCATTGCAGCATTGTTTATAGTAATGAAAGATTGGAAACAACCTAAATGCCCATTAATGTAGGACAAACTGGTTAAATAAATGATGGTACATCCTTATAATAGAATATTATGCAACCATTAACAAGAATGAGGCAGTTCTATACTGATATGAAATAATTTTCAAGATATATTGTTCAATAAAAAGGTATGGAAGGCTGGGCGCGGTGGCTCACGCCTGTAATCCTAGCACTCTGGGAGGCCGAGGCGGGCGGATTGTTTGAGCTCAGGAGTTC